TTGCCAGCAGAGATCAGAGATGTGACAGCCATTGAAATTACTCAGTTAACATGTCAAGAATCTATTAAACCAAGTTTTATTGTATTAAATAAGCACTCATCTCATCCAAACCAAAAGGGCATATTAGGCTGTTTGGGTTTCTAAGCAATTGCATTAGAGTGGCAGAGAGTTTAGCATCTGGATAGGGAGGGAGATACCACAGTACGCTGTCCAGCTGCTGCATGCTGGTGTCTTCTCAGCTCCTTGTGAGGAGCTGTGGATGGGTCAGGGCCATATCCTGTTGGCAGCACATCCTAGACAGAGCAGCCCAATCTAAGGGACTGGCATACCCCTGTTCCAGAGGTGGGCAATTATTTTGGCTGGAGGGCCACTTCACAAGTTTTGGTGAACAGTCAAGGGCTGCACACACAAAATCTTAAAGAAGATATAATTCTAACAAATTATAGATAAAAGCAAATCATATACTTAAAATAAAACATCTACTCTAACATATTTTAATTGTATTTAAAATAATTTTTGCCCTGATTTATGTTTTTTAGTAGTCTATATAGAGGTGATTGCATAATAGCTTAAAATAAAGTCTTTTCTTGTATACTGTGTGTATGGGGGGGCATGCTGCCCATGCGCTAGGTAGCAGGGGTGGAGGGAAGGAGCAGAGGCTGGGGGGAAGATGCAGCAGAGCTTGCCTGGGGAGTGTGATGCAGGTGCAGCTGCCCCTGCCCCCATCCAGCCTGCAGCTGCCCCCACAGTGCTTCACATGGGGACATGCCCCACCTGCAACTGCCCAGGGCAGCCCATGCTGCATCCCTGCCCAAACCCACCCCCTGCCCACCAGACAGCACTGCCCCAGGCCTGGCCCACACTCACAGCTTCCCGGCTGGGCTGCTGCCGCAGCTACCCAAATACTGCTTGGCTCCCCATGCCTCCAGTGGCTCCTATCCCTACTGTGACACTCCAGGCAGCAGGTAACATGGGGACCTGTGCCAAGCAGCAGATGCCCATCCAAGGGGGGAGGGAGAAGCTGCAGCCAGGTGGCCCTGCCCCAGCGCATGGGGCTCCAGCTCCTGGCCACCTTCCACCCACTCAGCCACCAACAGTGGCTGCTCGTGACACTGAGCGGGCAGAGTGGGTGGCTGCCCTGGGCAGGAGTGGGCAAGGTTCGGCCCTATGCAGCGTGCCACAGTGGCAGCCATGGGCTGGGTACTATCAGTTGGCAGGCATCTGCCTGTGGGTCAGATCCAATTAGTTGATGGGCTGAATCCGTCCATAGACCATATTTGCCCTTCCCTGCTCTACTTCTTTTCAACAAAGTGAGTTTTCAGCCCAGGTTAAACTTTCCTTTTCCTGCATCTTCCAGGTATCACTACCACATGGAAATCCTTTACTGAAGGGCTGTCTGTGAATGGCCTACACAGGCCTAGTGGGATCAAAATACCTATGTCCAGTGGCATGTGGAACAAGAAGGACAGTGAGGGTGCTCAGGTCACTGAAAAGTAGGGGTGCACTGATAAAGATTTCCTTGGCTGATACTGATAGCCAATGATTAACCAGCCATATCATAGAATAGAAGGGACCTGTAAGATCATCAAGTCTGGTCCCCTGCCATGGGCAGGAGGTAATTGGGCTCAAACGAGCTCAACAAGGTGCTTGTCCAGCCTCCTCTTGAACACTCCTGGCGACTGCACCACCTCTGCTGGATGTGTGTTCCAGATTCTAGATACCCGGATGGAAAACAAGTTTTTCCTTATGTCTAGCCTAAAATTTTCCTTGACTAGCTTGTGTCCATTGGTTCTCATCCTCTCAGGGGGTGTTTTTCTGAAGAGTTGCAACCCCTGGGCTTCACCCCTTACTTGCTTGTAGGTAGCTATCAAGTCACCCCTCATTCTTCTTTTACTCAGACTGAACAAGCCCATTTCCTGAAGTCTGTCCTCATAGGGCCTATCCTCCAGGCCCTTGATCATGCGGGTGGCCCTTCTCTGTACCATTTTGAGCTTATCCATATCCTTCTTGAAGTGAGGTGCCCAGAACTGGACACAGTACCCCAGCTGTGGTCTTACCAACGCCGAGTAGAGGAGGAGTAGCACCTTTTGGGATCTATTGGCAACACATCAAGTGCTTTTCATCAGGAGAGAAAAAGGACAGCTTGTGCTAAATAACAAATGAGCTTCATGTCCGTAATTCCCATGCTGTATTTCATGTATTATTACCAATTCCCTTCCTGCCTCCAGGTGAATCTCGTAGGTGTTTTGTGCCTTGGTTTCCTCATGTGCAGTAGAGGATAATGCTACCTCCCTCAAAAGAGTGTTTAGACTTATTAACTTTGTGAAGCGTGTTGAGACTTGGACGGGTGGTTCTGGAGCAGGGGTGGGCAGTTATTTTGGCTGGAGGGCCGCTTAACGGGTCCTGGTGAGCTGTTGAGGGCCGCAAGGGTAGCCCCACCCCTTGGCAGGTGCCCCGCCCCCTGACCACCATCTTGGGACCAGAAGTCCCACCCCCTAACCCCTGACCTTTGCCACTGGAAGTATTCCTTTTTGGGGGTTGCCATCTTGGAACCAGAAAAAACCCCAAATTATATACTAAAAATCAAACATCTACTATAGTTTAATTTTAGTTCAAAAAATATTTTTCTCCTGATTTATGTGTGTCTGCGTAGTGTATATAAAGGTGATTGCATAATAGCTCAAAATAAAGTCTGTCTTTATTGTGCATGTGTGCATGCATGCATGTGTGTCTGTGTGTGGGGAGAGTAGCGGAGTGTGGGGTGTGTTTGTAGGGCCCTCCCCATGCCCCCACCCAGGGCGCACAGCCCCTGCTCTTGGCAGCAGCAGGTCAGGGCACTCATGGCTCATGGCAGACAGAGCCCCCCAGCACTGCACAGCTCCAGCCGAGTCCTAGGATCTGGAGGTGGTGGCAGGGAGTAGGGAGAGGCCAGCCTGGTTGCATCATGCAATGCCCTCCATAGCTCAAGTGCAGCTCTTGGGACTTGGCTGAGCTGAGCATCACTATGGGGAGCCCTGCACGATAGAGCCGGTGGCCTGGCCCCGGTCCCTGCCACCACCCGCAGCTCCTGTGCGTTGGGGTGGGCGGGGCCCTGCCCCCTGGTGGTGGGCCCCCCCACCACTCCTGGCCGAGTCCCAGGAGCTGCACATGGTAGCAGGGAGCAGAGCCAGGCTGCTGGTTCTATTGCTTGTGGCTCCTAGCCAAGTCCTGGGAGCTGCACATGAGCCCCTGGGAGTCCCACACCATGGAGACAGGCTGGCCCGTGCTTCTGCAGACCCAGTCTCTGCGCTCCCACCAGCTCTGGCCCTGGCATGGGCCCCGTGCTCCTGCCAGCCCCGGCTTATGCTGCAGGCTCCATGCTCCCACCAGTCCTGGTGCTGCCCCTTTGCTCCCACCCAGCTGCAGTTTCCCCCCTGCTCACCACCAGTTCCCTACCAGCTGCCAAGAGTGCTGCAGCAGGGACAAGAGGAGGAGCCGCTGGAGGCAGGGGGTCTGGAAGCTGCGCACACTGGCCAGGGCCCTCCCGCAGGTGAAAGTGGGAGTGCAGCAAGCTACCTTCATGGGAGTGGGCAGGGCGTGGCCCTATGCAGAGTGCAGCAGAGGCAGCCGCAGGCCAGGCCAGGTACAATTAGTTGATGTGCGCCCGTCCGTGGGCTGGATGAAATTGCCTGGCGAGCCAGATCCAGCCTGTGAGCTGTAATTTGCCCACCCCTGTTCTGGAGAAATACTGAGAGTGATTAATGATAAATGAGTTTGACACAAAAGTAGTTGGAAGAACCTGGATGGTGAGAGAGGAAAAACTGCTTGATTTCCCCAGCCAATACTTCTGTTTACACCTAAAAGTCTCTTGTTCCTCCACACTATAAAAAATGGAATCCCATTAGTTTGTCATGTTCGTGACTGACTGCCCAGAACCACTCATGACATGGGATTGTGAGTCCCATGTCATTTCAGTCCAAATATTTCTGCAAGAGGCAACAACTCCCCATCAGGGAGCTGGAGGGCAGAGCCTGGTAATTAGTCAAACAGTGTCACTGAAGACTGCTAGCTTTTGGGGTAGAGGAGACACTCTCCTTAACACACTTGAAAGCTCTTGGCGGTGTACCCCCTACCTTCCCCCCAGGGTGTCGCTAGCTAGGCTGTCCAGCATTGTCATCTAAAACCCTGTTTCTTCCCAGTTTCTGGTTGGAAAAGGTGGTGAAACCCCTACTTTCTGATTGGCCCTAACTAAAGTTCCCCTGTAGAAGAGCAAAGTGAGAGTCTAGTGCAGAGTATCACCAGGTGGTGCCTGCAGACGGTTTGGAATTGGCATATCAAATCCTAGCGTGTCTGACATCAAAGCTGCTCCCCCTGTACCGCTAGGTACCTTGGGGAAGGGCTTGGCAGGATTCATTTCTGGTGTCAGTGGTCTGTCACTCACTCACAAGCCTGAAGTCACAAGCTTCTCACCTGCTCTGTAGTGACTCTCCTAATCTGCTTCCCCAAGGGAGGGCGGGCAGCACTGTAGAGGCCAGCTGCTAAACCTGGTGGGGATGGGGGAGGAAGTGCTTCACACTCGCACCTGGCTGTGACCCTTCTTGCAGTGAGATACCAGGGCAAGAAAGAGCAGGGTGCTGAGCCTTACCCTTCTTGGGACCAAACCCTACATCCTCCTGCTCTGAAGGCCATGAGGGCAGGAATG